AGCTGTGGTGTATGCCACACCACAGATCCCTTGGGAGAGTGACGGGTCACTCTCATGTGACCCCGTTACACAATTCCTGCGGCATCAAAGATTTTGACAAAAAGATCACACATATACCATATGTTATGCATTAAGTTCGCACTCAAAGTACACCGTTAATAGTCATGACAACGATAGATAAATTACTCAAGGTTCGCTTTGAACAGCATGAAGTTTCGCTATCCTTACACGCAGGTTAGTGTTTCGTTTTTAGGGTCATTCTTGACTCGCCAACATTGGTGCATCAATTGCTAAAAAAAATGAAAATTAAAAACACGCAAAAGGTGGCGTAGCAGATCGAACAAGAACAACCTCATGCAGATAATCACCCTTGGTAATTCCGACACAGAGCCAAATTCATTGCTAGCGGAGCAGCCTCTAACCGCATGTTATAAGGATTTGAAGCACATGTAAAACCATAAAACGCTGCTTTCTAAAGCAATTGTGCTATTTTGCTTTAATGTGTGTCTTCTTTCAACGGTATACAATGATCGCGTAAGTGTCAATCTAAGTGAGAAGTGAACGTCCATACAAAGCCAGCACTGACTTCTTACTTCCTCAGCTTTAGTAACAACGACTTGTTGCCTTTAACTTTTTTCTGCAACTGCATCAATCCGAACAACAGCGCTTCGGCAGTAGGTGGGCAACCAGGCACGTAAATGTCCACAGGAACGATGCGGTCTACACCACGAACCACAGCATACGAGTAGTGATAGTAGCCACCACCATTAGCACAGCTACCCATAGACACGACATAGCGAGGCTCAGGCATCTGGTCGTAAACGCGGCGAAGAGCAGGTGCCATTTTATTAGTCAATGTGCCGGCTACGATCATTACGTCTGTTTGACGGGGCGAGGCACGAAATACCATTCCCATACGCTCAAAATCGTAACGCGAACCAGCTAAACATAGCAGAATAAAACAATCAAAGATCGGTAGAGAATAGCGAGCGTCAAAAGTCGTACCGGAGTGCATCATTTCAACGGCGCAGCAGGCTAGACCAAAAGTCATCGGCCACAGTGAGCTCTTACGACCCCAATTCACCAGATCGTCCACACGAGAGACGACGTACTCTAAAGATAAGTAAATAAAGTGTATGAGACAGAATTAGGCGCTAAGATTAACAAAATCGGATCGTACCGACACCGTTGCGTGCTGTAGCATTCCCGCTAAGTAAATCCTGAATGTTACCACGCTCGGCGGGTGTGGACGAGGGAGTTGCAGGAACTACTGAAGCACAACGAACGCCAGACGACCGGAATAAAGCACCAGTGCAACGAGCTAGTGTCAACATGTTTATCTATTGACAATAACCACAGAAATATTTAAAAATGAAAATAACAAGTGAAAAAAATAAATTTGCACTATTACTACCGGTAACTTAATAGTAAAAAAAACTATTTTACGAACAGAAACACAATGTGCAGCGAGGTGAAAATAGCATCGCGGAAGCCAGCCGGCCAATGCGATTGCCTTCATTTTTCTTGCCAGTAACGGCCTCGTTGTCTGCAGACACTGAATTGGAAAATGTTTCAGCACCTTCTCCATTGATACCAAGAATTAGATACGCGGCAGAATGAGTTGATAGATAGTCCTGCAAACTCTCTGCAACAGTAGTAGTGCGCTCAAAAGGTTGAAGATCCAATACGCCTTCTATCTGTACGAAAAATAAAACCAATGTTAAAGGTGGGAAAAATATGATTGCGTGTACTCTTTCTAACCCCAGCTCCTGCGATGCTGCCTTTGTACCATTCAAACGGCTGAGCGTCATACTCTCCAACAATCGGCTTTTCATAAAAGTGAACGATTCGTAAAATATCGACTGGTCGCATTAATTTCAGCGTGGCGTTAAGACAACGAGCTGCAATCGTTGATTTGTCCACGGCCAATACGAAAGTGTACCGCTTACTGATCACAGAAGTGATAGAAGCCGGAGAAACGACAATAGTAGGAGTATTAGCAGCACAATACAAAATGTCCCACGGAACGTGATGGACTTGATCTATAGCTGGACCGCCTATTCCGTGGGCTCCTACCACAAGAAAGTCAACGTGTTCTCGATCCGCGATCGTTAAAAGGTGCTGCGCAACTAAGGTCGTGGCTTCACACTTTTCACACAATAATTTGAAACTATTGATAGGAAGCCTGAGTCGCTTACAATGAGTATTCACCTCTACACTATCATAGTTAATTGGACTCTCATTGCTATTCCAGCAGACAAGCGAAAACACACCTTCAGTGAGAAATTCCTTGGGAATTTGTGGCAGTTGGCGACTTGCTGCGTTTTCTTCATCCACATACACAGCTACCACTGACCCTTGCCGCCGCAATTGCACTGCGATCTCAAAGGCAACGTAGGATTGGCCTTAACGGTACAAATTAGAATGTAACTAGCTGTTTGATGAGGTTAAATTCTTACGACTGCCATCAACTCCAACAATGAATCTTGTAGTCGGTAAGAGGCGATTGTTGTTCTGATGCGCTTAAATAATTCATCGTCAAGCCATATAAGCAATTCCAGTTTGATCATATATATATATATGACAAACGTACCTTGCACCATCTCGTTGCGCAGCTCCACAAGTTTCGAGTGGAAATCTAAGAAGAGACTAGATTCACTCTCGCGCGCTGCTATAATCGAATCATAGTCATGATTATCCATCAAGCCGCATAATTGTTCATGTTTATCTTCAGATAAATCGTTTGGTACAAGGGTACGAACGAGCGCTAAAATCTCATCTGGACGATCCAAGAAGTTTTGGAACGTCTCATCCGTTAATTCCAGCTGTGCAACATCATTCAATAACTTCCATCCAAACTTTATGTCTCAATAGCTCATGGCAAACCTCTTTGATACTCAAAATGATTTGTACTGCTTGAATACACAACTGTAGCGCCGGTGATATCTTCTTTCGCGCTAACACATTGCGCATTTTCAACTCACAGCTTTAGATACCGTCGCATTTTTATATATACCGGTATGTATACATGGTATAGTGTCAATGCCGCCAAGAAAGTGGCATTATGCAGGAAAACGGGGAGCTGCATCCAGCGCAGGTGCTACCGAGTGGCCACGACGTCGGATCAAGCCACTATGCAGGCGGTATGCCACCTCACAAGCGCATGCGCAAGCCTATTGTGCGTAAGAGCGTCGATCCTAATGCTACTTTCATTAACTACGTGACGCAGCGACGCTTTGTCATGGCGCGCAGTGTGCGCTCGATCGTGTTACCGCCACACTCGTATTATAAGAAAAAAATGCTGCCACCTTTAGCTTATCCAGGTGATGACGATCTTGCATCTTGTGTGTGTACCAAATTTTGTCGTTGTTCAACAAACAAGCAACGTTGTCCCGTCAACTGCCTCACTTGGACACCAGAGGGCCGTAGGCTTATCACGGGCAACTCGGTTGGCGAATTTACACTTTGGAATGGCCTTGCATTTAACTTTGAGACTATACTCCAAGCTCACGACGATGCTGTGCGAGCCATGGTGTGGTCTCACAATGATAATTGGCTGGTCACGGCCGATCACGGTGGAGTGATCAAGTACTGGCAATCGAGTATGACTAATGTGCAGCTGTTGCAAGGACATCGTGAAGCTGTGCGCTCGCTTAGTTTCTCGCCAACGGATTTTAAATTCGTTTCGTGTTCAGATGATGCGACAGTGAAGATCTGGGATTTTGAAAGTTGCCGCGAGGAACGTGTACTGACTGGACACGGTTGGGACGTCAAGTGTGTGGCTTACCACCCACAGAAATGTCTTTTGGCTAGTGGAAGTAAGGACAATTTGGTCAAGATTTGGGATCCAAAATCAGGGAATAGTCTTAACACATTACATGGACACAAGAACACTGTGTTCAAAGTGGCGTGGAACGCAAACGGCAATTGGTTACTTACAGCTAGTCGTGACCAGTTAATCAAGATCTATGATATTCGGATGCTCAAGGAATTCGCTACGCTGAAAGGCCATGCACGCGAGGTCACGTCGATCGCATGGCATCCGTGGTATGAGCGTCTCTTTGTTAGTGGCTCATATGATGGATCACTTATGTACTGGGAAGTCGGGTACGGGCTCTGCCAAACGTGCTAAAATATGCGTCACTAATACTGTTTGTTGATATCTGTGTTTGAAGAAAGGAGACTGCACTCGCTTCTATTCCACAGGCTCACGACACTGCTGTGTGGGATATTCAATGGCATCCCGTAGGTCATGTCGTTGCGACTGGAAGGTTCGTCTGCTTAGTGATCTCAAAATGCATAAAATATTGACTTTGTCTTTTTTAGTAATGATCACAGTACCAAGTTCTGGTGTCGCAATCGGCCGGGAGACCCGATGGACGACAAATACAATGGTGGTCAGAATGTGCTTAACGAGCACGAGACTGGCGAAGGAATAGCGTACATGCGTGGAGGTGCAGAAGGTGCAGAAGTGCTGCCTGGTATGGCGGACGGTGCTGCCAGTCTGCGTTCGTGTGCTATCAATGCTGCTAACTTTCAGACATTCAACAATGCGGCCACGGATAATCGTGCAAACGGTGGTCGCCGACCCCCGCCTGAATCTTACACGTGCAACCGCTGCGGCACTAAGGGTCATTGGATCGAGGACTGTCCTACAAAAGACCAGCCAAATGCTAATGGACTGATGCAGCGCAAAACTCCACCTGAAGGATATTTGTGCAAGCGCTGCAACGTACCTGGTCACTACATCTCTGACTGTACTGAGCCCAAGGTGCCTCCTCCATCGTATACCTGCCACAAATGCCGACAAAAAGGTCACTGGAAGCAGGATTGTCCAATGGATGGTAATGGCGCTATTACTGCGTTGATGAACCAAATTCGTCCACCGGGTGCTCCAATGAGTTCAAACGTTCCGATCATTACGAGCGGAGTAAGTACAGTTCCGCCGGTACAGCTTTCAGGTCTCGGCTTTCCACCACGAGGAATGATGTTCCCCCCTCCACCTGCTGGTGCACCTGGACTGCTCGTGCCTCCTCCGCCTCCACCACACATTCTTGCTGGTATGAAGCGTGGTTGTGAGGACGATATTAATGGTGGTGGATCTGGAATGTTTCCGCCGAATATGAATAGCTGGCCGCCTATGGTCGGAGGACAATCAGGTCCAACAACGGGGCCTTCTGGAAGTAATGACCCGTTTTCTGGGCTTCAGCCTACTCAGCCTGAAGTCAAAAAGGTAAGTCGAGACCCGCGAAGAAGACCATAAGTGCCACGGCAGAATTATCTGATAGCGTGAGTCGTTTGCTCAAGGATGTTATTGTATAATTTCGAGGTGATTATTTCTTACAATATCAAGCTTATCGAAACATAAAAGTCTGCATACTAATAACTTTTAAAAATGCGACAGCAAATTTTGTGGCGACACCGTCAATAGTGTATACTTAGCTAAGCTATGTTTCCACCAGTCGATACAGATGCTAGCAGTTCGACTAGAAATTCGAACGGGCAGAGGTTTAAATTAAAAATGACAACTTTTCCAAATTTTGATATGACGATTTAATGGGTGTTGTATTGAAGTCATAATGATTTATAGAGTAAAGCCATAGAATCATATGACTGAAGAATTAATATTCAATATCAAAGCGATATTCCATCGAGCAACAACAAAAAGTGTTGATGGATTGCGAGGGAGTTTGAGTCCTTAAAAGGCCAGTCAGTGCCCCCCGATCAGGGTGCGTCTCGACTGATACCAATCACACTGAATCTCAAGTTGAAGACATGATTACACAAATGTATGTATTCAAACGTACAGACTCTACGACAGTAGGGTCCTTGTCGATCGACACCTGTTGCAGTGCGTTCATTCCACGAATTCCAATTAGGCTAATGCCGCCAATTCGACGTAGGACGTCTCCTCGTCTGCTTGATTATTGCAATTGTCCCTAACCCTGATAAGAAGCGTATGGGAGGTTTTCAGCCACAGACCCGACCCGCTACAGCCCGCCCACTACTACAATATTGGTCATTTCCATAATTGGGCCGGTGGAAGAATTAACTGCTCGATGAACGACTCAGCGCGGCTTGATCGGGGTGCTCACGTGCCCTCTCCTTCGCTTCCATTGCAGCAATTGCTATCTACTGTGCCCATGACTGACAATCAGCGCTGCAAACAACTTAACTGTGGTTCCTCTGACCGCCTGCGTAGCCCAGAAGAATGTCGCCGCGCCGCCGGACGACGACACCACACGCCCCGTCACGTGACGACAGCATTAGCTTCTGCACCTTCCTGCCAGCATCTTGCTGCTATTGAAAACGTTCGTACCGCGAGCGGTAGTGCATATGGTGTAGGTCATGAGGTCATTCTCAGCGGTGCACTTAGCAAGCGTGGTCAGTTTTTCAAGGCGTGGATACCACGTCATTTGGTGCTGTCGCGAGGCACTTTACAAGTGTTCAAAAAGAATCCATACATGCAGCAACAGACGAAAGATGTCGCACAGATGGAGAAAAAACTGTTTAAGATGGAAGTAATTAGAGCCGATGCCATTCGTGTTGAGGCCACTGATGCGTTTAAACACCATCCGTTCTGTTTTGTACTCGTGGCGCGCAAACGATCTCGATGCTTGGGTGTTTTGAAGAGCAGTAGTAGCGACAGCACGACCAAGACTACGATTACGTTTAACAGTGCAGGAGGTAACTGCTGTCAGCATCGGAAAGAGAGCAATCTGGACTCACGTCGGATGGAGGACGGACCTATCGTGTTGTACTATCTAGAGGCCAATAAAGAAACTGAACGGCAACGATGGATCCGCGCACTGCAGCGCTGGATAGAAGGGGAGAGTCCGACGAAACTCGGGCGTGGGATTCTAAACTATATTGTCAATAACGAGTATAGCAACTATCGCTACGGTAAGAAGGTTATACGTCGAACGGGTTCGTCATCCAGGTCTGTGGGACTAGTAGGTGAATGTGGATCAGCACCAGCTCTGTCACCGGCGTCTCAGGCTGGGCGTACAGTTGAGCAGGAGTTTCCAGTACTTGCAAATTTGATTCGTGATCTGAACGATTGTAAAAAGGAAGATGAGATGATATATATCCTGGACCAGGTGCTAGGAGAAGTTCAGGATGGCGCGAATAGTGGCTATATAAAGAAACTTATTGGTACTGCAGGTGAAGTTAAATTGGAGCAATCGGAGCATATTTGGACGACTCATGTGAAGACAGCGTATGCAAACATTATGAAGGCACTACAAACGTCGTCGGCGGAACAGGAGCCGAGTAGCCAAGCACCAACGTTACGAGCTCCTACGTACGCTACTCGTCAGAATTCAGCTGGCAGCATTGACTCAAATGGAAGCAATCGTTCTTTAAACAATGTGGACTTGGCTTCCTTTCACCGATTTTATAAACTCGGACGAAAGCTTGGATCAGGAGCCTTTTCTGTTGTACACATTGCGACGCACCGTGAAACTCGAAAACAAGTGGCGGTCAAGTGCATTGCAAAGGCGAGTCTAGGGCCACAAGACGTGCATTCTTTGAAACAAGAGGTGGAGGTTATGTCGAGTTTAAACCATCCGAACATTGTGCCATTGCTCGATTACTTTGAAGAGGATCGATACTATTACATTGTCACGCCACTGTGTACAGGTGGTGAGCTATTTGACGATCTGGTAAAACGCAAAAGCTATACGGAAGAGGATGCACGTGCTCTCATGCGCAAGCTGGCAAGTGCGATTGACTATCTTCACTTGCGTGGGATTATTCATCGTGACCTCAAGCCTGAAAATATACTGCTCAAGACGTCAGCTCCTGGTGCTGAAGTCATGATA